TAACTAGAATGTCTTTACACTGGAACGCACAGGGGCAGAGAACCAAAGGCAGACAGCCCCCCCCCCTCTTAAAAAAAAACACACACACACACATCTTACTGCATTAGTCAAAAACTGATAGGGTTTTTGTCATTCATGTGTCAGTCAGTGCTTTCTAACAAACCAGATAAACTAACAAACGAACAAAGCAGACAAACATATTTGCACAAAAGAGTCTACCAGACAAGATACTTATCATTATTGTTTCTTGCTGGAGAAAGAAATGCATTTCGGCTGACGGTCAGATAGTCCCCGCTAAAGTAGGGCGTGTTGTGAATAGGATCTGCCAGCCACCAGAACATAACATATGAACAGCATTCATTCTCTTGTTGTCTGTTCTAGCAAACTGATTCAAACCCCAGTCTATAGTCACGCTGTATTGCTTTCAGTTGACACTTTCTCTAACATGTTCTCTGGTTTCTATTTTTCTTCTCTCATTCTATGTTTTTCAGTGGTCGCGTATAACATCAGAACTAGCGCATACCCTTGCAAGGGTATTAAAAGTATAACATCACAACTAGCGCATACCCTTGCAAGGGTATCGAGAGTATAACACCACAACTAGCGCATACCCTTGCAAGGGTATCGAGAGTATAACACCACAACTAGCGCATACCATTGCAAGGGTATCGAGAGTATAACACCACAACTAGCGCATACCCTTGCAAGGGTATCGAGAGTATAACACCACAACTAGCGCATACCCTTGCAAGGGTATCGAGAGTATAACACCACAACTAGCGCATAGCCTTGCAAGGGTATTTAGAGCAGTTCGAGTCGACGGTTTTTTTTTCTCTTGGGCACAATCGGAAACTAACGGAGTGTGCCGGTAAGGTATATATGGCGTACTTTGATTTGTATCAACGCAGACAGTTTCAGTATGTATGCTTTATATTTAACAGCCTGTAGAAAGAACTGACATGATCTAAAAAGGTAACTAACTATTCACCATATTCGGACTGACAATATTTTTCTATGCGAATAATTACTTCCAAAGTCAGTCGAGGAGTTTGTAATAGTCAACAGTTTATGCTTTCATAATCTGTGTCATCAAATATGTGTTCTGATAAAACGAAACAGATGCAAGCTGTTCATTTTTGTAAAACTCACCAATGGTTGTTCTTGTCATGATGCTTTTGCTGTTCATTGGAAATGGGGGTTTTATTTTGTTCGTTGAACTGAGAAGACTGCTGTTTGAGAATGTGTGCAGTGTGAGTCTGTTGTGTTGTTTTTGTATATACCAGATGAATAAATACACGGGCAGTTAGTTAGTCAGCTGTGTACTGGAGATAATGTATTTGTTGAGTGTTTATTGCTTTGTTCAACTGCGTTCACTGTGTTTGTCTTGTGGACATTGATCGCTGGCAGCATGAGGGCTAACGGACTGAAATGGGTCCCCATATTGAGAGAATATCAGAGAGGTAAAAGCTGTGTACACAAGGGAGTTGAATGGTCGTAGTCCACGAGGGAGACCAGGAAGACGATTGATAGGTAGTATCCAGACAGATCTACAAACACTTAGTGAAGCCAGCTGGAGAGAGAGATTAATGGAGGCAAGTGGTATCTGCAGTAATGAATATCAAGGGCTCGGAATGCTGAAGAAGCAGCAGTGTTTGTGTTATATAGCAAATATTTGAATATGCGCTCGTATACAAACGTACATCAGTATTTACAAACACGTTTACATGTGTGTGCCTGCGCTCACGTGAGCAAAACAACACGTGAAAATATAATAACTGGCAAACTTGATGGAAGCAGCAAAGAGGACGACCTTGACATAAATGTTGGGATGGTGTGGTCACATGACTATGGCAACATGACACACTTATCTTCGACTAGTGAAGGTTAGTGCCACCACCGACGCTTGAGTGTATGGCGTGTATGTATACACAGTGCAAACCTGGTAAGGAGAACTAATCGCGGGCCCAAGAAATAGTTTTTATCATAAAATCGTTTTATGAGTGGAGGCAAAGAGATGCACACTAGGATGGCTGGGCCAAGGAGGGATAAGATCACTGACCGGATCCGTGAGTCCGCCTAGACAAGACCGCCTACACTTATCGAAAGACACATGATGATTCTGACGATTCGTCAGTAAACTCGAAAAGTAGAACCAGTTAGTTTTTTCAGAATCAAAAACAATAACTGAACGTCGCGGTAAGATGGCTCTCGTCAGCACGTAAATAAGTTTACATTAACACAAGTAGGTTTTTTTTTAAGTGAAGGGCCCTTTTCCATGCTATAAGCATACTGGGTACATAGGACTAGACCTATATTTTATAGACCAATCGACACTTGTTAAAGGATGTGGTCATCATCACGCAGGTCGCCTTTACCTCCCTTAACTTTACCTCCTACCCACATAAGGCTGGGTCAACCTGGCAGCCAAGGGCATTTTTGAAAGGAGTTCGTCAGGACCCGAATGTCTGTGTTGTTAGCGTCCTGTCGCTACATCACAGTAACAAAAGTACAAACAATAATAGTGTTATTTCCGGCGGTCAAATACGTGTCTAGTCATTTTTATTGTCAGACAGAAATGTGATTTCTATCGGGCATTCGACAGTTAAGTGACTGTGTATTCTTGTTCGTACTTTAAAAAAAAAAAAAACACAAGATTATTACACACTACACTCAAAGGCAAGACGGACGTATAACTAGATTGTGACCGGTACCATCAGTATTGGAACTCTGCACTGGCTGCTGAAGGTGAGGACGGAGCACGCGTGGGATTGCCCCGAGTGCTGTGATGTCAATTCTTGACTCGACTCATTGGGAAGCTGACTGGTCCCTCTTTTCCTTTGGTTTGATCTTTTCACGATATTCATTGAACTCGGACATCTGATTGGCTGAGTCCAAAACTGCCGTCCAATGAGAGCAGGCGTGAGATGACATCCGCCGTTGATCTGATCAGTTGTTTAAGTACACAATCCAAGCTCGTCAGTTTTCCAGCGAAGTCTGGTGCCAGTCTTCGTTGTATGTCACAGGAAAGGTAATCAGTGGCTAAATCTTGATTCCTACTAACTGTACACAACAACAGAACTGACCATTACAGACCGACAGTAAACGATAAAGCGTTTTCTTTACACACACGGCCACAGATTTGCTCTTCAAAATGCCGGATGCTTTGTTGAAGTCTTTGACCGCCATAGATTTTGAAATGCTGTCATTGGCTCTTGAAGTCCCTAGTGAAAGGCTGATAGTTTATTTTTACGGACATATACTTATTCTTCTTCGTGCTTAGTATAGAATCAGCTCATCGAATTGTTTAGGATGAAAACTAGCAAGGACTCAAACTTTGCACGGTGCCTGCAAGACTTTGAGTCACCTGAAGACATTCAGCTGCCAGGTCTTGCACTCACCGTCGGGAGAGTGTCTGGGTATACTGCAGTGTGTGGCTTGCTGCCGGGATTAAGCCAGGTCACCACCAGTAAACAGTTCTTCAAGCTGCACAAGGGCAAACAGTTGATTGGCACTTATAGAAAGAGTATAGAAAGATAAAAGCACGCACTAGACAACATCAACAAATTAAAGCTGTATAGTTAACACGTGGGGAATCGAACCTGTGACCTCCAAGTGACGACGGCGCTTTGCGGCAAAAGCAAGTGTACTAGGCATTAACACTCGACACCCCTAAGAAAAGATGCCATTGCAAGCCAGGTATATCATACAGCTTGAATCCACACGTATGGAATACGGACACAGTTGATTTCACACCATTAAAATAGCACTGTGGGTTACATCAATTTATATTAACCAAGCATAGATTGAATAACAAATGCAAAATTGCTCTGAAAAAAGTGGGGGTGGGGGAGGGTAGGGGGTGGGCAACTTAAATAATTTGCATAATCATTGTGTGTGTGTGCGTGCGTGCGTGTGTGTGTGTTTTTAAGCTGTTCAAGGGTGGACAACTCCAATGTTCTGAAGAGTACGTTGTCAGTGTCACGTGAACAATGTTACCTGATGTTGGCAGCTGGACTCCATCGGTGTCAGCTGGGAGACCATCGGATGATGATCAGTGTCACGTGAAGGAATGTTAGCTGGGAGACCATCGGGTGATGATCAGTGTCACGTGAAGGAATGTCAGCTGGGAGACCATCGGATGATGATCAGTGTCACGTGAAGGAATGTCAGCTGGGAGACCATCGGATGATGATCAGTGTCACGTGAAGGAATGTTAGCTGGGAGACCATCGGATGATGATCAGTGTCACGTGACGGAATATTAGCTGGGAGACCATCGGATGATGATCAGTGTCACGTGAAGGAATATTAGCTGGGAGACCATCGGATGATGATCAGTGTCACGTGAAGGAATGTTAGCTGGGAGACCATCGGGTGATGATCAGTGTCACGTGAAGGAATGTTACCTTGGAGACCATCGGATGATGATCAGTGTCACGTGAACAATGTTACCTGATGTTGGCAGCTGGACTCCATCGGTGTCAGCTGGGAGACCATCGGATGATGATCAGTGTCACGTGAAGGAATGTTAGCTGGGAGACCATCGGATGATGATCAGTGTCACGTGAAGGAATGTTAGCTGGGAGACCATCGGATGATGATCAGTGTCACGTGAAGGAATGTCAGCTGGGAGACCATCGGGTGATGATCAGTGTCACGTGAAGGAATGTTACCTTGGAGACCATCGGATGATGATCAGTGTCACGTGAAGGAATGTCAGCTGGGAGACCATCAGGTGATGATCAGTGTCACGTGAAGAAATGTCAGCTGGGAGACCATCGGATGATTACAGCTGTCCTCTATCAGTGTAATTAAAGAGATCACAGACTGTTTTCGATCAGTGTAATTTGGGAGACAACATGATGTATACTCTATCAATGTAAGGTGGGACCGGGGGGGGGGGATGGGTAGTATGGAGTTTTCTGTCAGACTTACCTGTAACATCGTCTGTAATTGACAGTTCTACTCAGTGAAGGCAGTTGATGAAATATTTCCACAGAAATGGCAACCGTGGTCAGACAAGTGAAGAGGTTCCAACGCTCAGACTGGTACACTGATGCCTACACACAAGCCACCAGTGCTGACAACCAGAGGACAGCAGCATTCGATGTCAGTGCCACAACTCTCCTCATCTTTTTCTCAATATGTTCGGTCGTCTTTTTTTCTAAAACCCCAAACTAAAATTTTCAGTCCATTTGATTATTTCCAATATTCTGGATTTGTAATTCTGTTAATTTGTTCGCTACAAATACATTTTTTGTCGGTGAATTGTTTCCTTATTGTTAACATGTGAATTATGTTATTGTGAATATCAGCACATGAACGGTTATTACCTGAGAGGTGTTTTGCAGCAATGTTTAGCCTCTCCTGGTAAGTAGCGGTTTCCTTGTCATGCTTAGTATTTATATGTCACAGATTTACTCGAATTATTTTACCTATATTTTCGATTCGTTTTAAAGTGCCCCCCCCTCTCTCTCTCTCTCTCTCTCTCTCTCTCTCTCTCTCTCTCTCTCTCTCTCTCTCTCTCTCTCTCTCTCTCTCTCTCTCTTGCGACAATATACAGCACACGACTTCACTGTAAAACACGTACGAAAGAACCGGGGTTGAGGTTGCCTCACGAGCTCCCAAACACCCCCCCCCCCCCCCCCATACTTATATAAATAGGCCAAGCATCCCTCTTGTAAACATGTATAGAAATTCACTTTAAAAGTATTTGCCGAAATTTTTCGCATTATTTCAAAGATATATTTATTCACCTGGAGCCTCCGTCGTGTACCGACTAGACGCTCGCCCGCAGATTCAACGGATGTGAATTCGAAACCAAACGGAGCCGGACTTTTAAAAAAAAAAGACTTCGGGCCCCAGGTCGACCCATGCTTCAGTGGGTACCATCTATACTCCTGGAAAGTAAAGGCGACCGGCATGATTTTGACCACATCACCCATCGCGTACCGATAGGTCCATAAAATAAAGGTCTAGCCCTATATGCCCAATACATCTGACGGCATGGACAAGGGTCCATTACTTTTCACTATTCAGCACAGTATTGTTATTATAATTAAGCTCTTAAACTAAGACTAGGCTCCTTGAGACCTAGAAAATGGGAGGCAATGTTTTCTCTGTGTCGGTACACTTGCTATGAAAACTGCCAGGTTACCCTCACGTTAATGGCCCATTTCCCTTGTATACTAAATGCAACACTTGATCCTTTTCCCCGTCAATTCACGACTCCACTGTTCAGATGTGACTTCATCACAAATCTTACTTTGTGACTACATCATAAATCTAACTTTGTGACTACATCATAAATCTTACTTTGTGACTACATCATAAATCTTACATTGTGACTACATCATAAATCTTACATTGTGACTACATCATAAATCTTACTTTGTGACCACATCATAAATCTAACTTTGTGACTACATCATAAATCTTACTTTGTGACTACATCATAAATCTTACATTGTGACTACATCATAAATCTTACATTGTGACTACATCATAAATCTTACTTTGTGACCACATCATAAATCTAACTTTGTGACTACATCATAAATCTTACTTTGTGACTACATCATAAATCTTACATTGTGACTACATCATAAATCTTACATTGTGACTACATCATAAATCTTACTTTGTGACCACATCATAAATCTAACTTTGTGACTACATCATAAATCTTACTTTGTGACCACATCATAAATCTAACTTTGTGATAACTTTGCGACTACATCATAAATCTAACTCTGTGACTACATCATAAATCTAACTTTGTGATAATTTTGTGACTACGTCATTAATACAACTTTGTGACCACAACATAGATCTAACTTTGTGATAACTTTGTGACTACATCATAAATCTAACTTTGTGATAACTTTGTGACTACATCATAAATCTTACTTTGTGACTACATCATAAATCTTACTTTGTGACTACATCATAAATCTAACTTTGTGACTACATCATAAATCTTACTTTGTGACTGCATCATAAATCTAACTTACTAATTACTTGGTGACTGCATCGTAAATATAGTTTTTGTGACTTTATCATAAATCTACCTGATAAGTCTGATAACTTTTGACTACATTATAAATCTAACTTTGTGACTACTTCATAAATCTAACATTAGGATAACTGCTGACTACATTATAAATCTAACTTGGCGACTTCTTATTTACTTTCGTTTGTGGTGGCCTCTGTTAGCATTCAACTACATATTGTGCACTAGCCTGAACTGATCTGTGTGTGTGACTGCAGGTTTGCCAGGAGGCCAGATTTCTGCGCAATGAAACCGACTGCCAGACCAAATGGGACCAGTACTCCACAGAGGTGAGGCTAGCAGATCGGGTCAACAACCTGCGCAGGTGGAAGGATCTCCTAGAGCGCAACCTGAGGCAGCTGGACCAGGAGATCGCTGACTTGTCTGAGGCCAAAGAGACCGCCGAGGGGGTTCTGGAGAATCTGAACTTGCGAACGGATGTTGCTGTCGAATGTTTAACTCTCCGCGAAGGTCGCAGGAAGATTGAAGTGGTGGCTGATGAGCCGGAGAATGAGCTTTACAAGGTCAGTCCCGCCAGATACTTGGTTCCCAGCCTAAACAGATTACCAAAACCTTTTCCTGGGAAGTAGAGTCTGTACTGAAACGAGTCTAGAGCCAAATGCCAGCTGGGACTTTTGCGTCAAATGGGTCCTTTACATACTTACTAGTCGGTGTCTGTGGCCTTGATGTTGTGAACGCGCATCCTAATGCCGGGGTGCCGTGTTCGATCCCAACTAAAGGCGATGTGGCAGTAGGCTGTCTTGCTTGGGTTTCGATAGTGGTACCGAGAAGCGACCGCTTAGAAAGCAGTGACAAACTTTGAATGTAAAATTTACCTAGAAAAACTTCAACGCCCAAAAAATGCCGGGGTTGGTTCTGTGAGGTTCTGTAAAGCAAACGCAACAAATTTTTTTAAACTAATCAAAAACTATGTTTGTAACCTGTCCATGAAATACAATAGAATAAATCTGTTTATGTTTGTAACCTGTCCATGAAATACAATAAAATAAATCTGTTTATGTTTGTAACCTGTCCATGAAATACAATAGAATAAATCTGTTTATGTTTGTAGCCTTTCGATGAAACACAGTAAAATAAATTTGTTTATGTTTGTAACCTGTCGATAAAATACAGTACAGTTATCCTTATTACCCGGTGTAACTGTTGATATGCTTGATTTCTGTGGATCTTGTGTGTTGAAAATAACATGGAGACTATACTAGCAACTAGTCAAGTTTTCAACGTGGAAACTATACCAGCAACTAGTCAAGTTTTGAACATGGAGACTATACCAGCAACTAGTCAAGTTTTGAACATGGAAACTATACCACCAACTAGTCAAGTTTTGAACATGAAAACTATACCAGCAACTAGTCATGTTTTCAACATGGAGACTTTACCAGCAACTAGTCAAGTTTTCAACATGGAAACTATACCAGCAACTAGTCAAGTTTTCAACATGGAAACTATACCAGTAACTAGTCAAGTTTTCAACATGGAGACTATACCAGCAACTAGTCAAGTTTTGAACATGGAAACTATACCAGCAACTAGTCAAGTTTTCAACATGGAGACTATACCAGCAACTAGTCAAGTTTTGAACATGGAAACTATACCAGCAACTAGTCAAGTTTTGAACATGGAGATTATACCAGCAACTAGTCAAGTTTTCAACATGGAGACTTTACCAGCTACTAGTCAAGTTTTGAACATGGAAACTATACCAGCAACTAGTCAAGTTTTGAACATGGAAACCATACCAGCAACTAGTCAAGTTTTGAACATGGAAACTATACCAGCAACTAGTCAAGTTTTGAACATGGAAACTATACCAGCAACTAGTCAAGTTTTGAACATGGAGACTATACCAGTAACTAGTCAAGTTTTCAACATGGAAACTATACCAGCAACTAGTCAAGTTTTCAACATGGAAACTATACCAGCAACTAGTCAAGTTTTCAACATGGAAACTATACCAGCAACTAGTCAAGTTTTCAACATGGAAACTATACCAGCAACTAGTCAAGTTTTGAACATGGAGACTATACCAGTAACTAGTCAAGCTTTCAACATGGAAACTATACCAGCAACTAGTCAAGTTTTGAACATGGAGACTATACCAGTAACTAGTCAAGTTTTCAACATGGAAACTATACCAGCAACTAGTCAAGTTTTCAACATGGAGACTATACCAGTAACTAGTCAAGTTTTCAACATGGAAACTATACCAGCAACTAGTCAAGTTTTCAACATGGAAACTATACCAGCAACTAGTCAAGTTTTCAACATGGAAACTATACCAGCAACTAGTCAAGTTTTCAACATGGAAACTTTACCAGCAACTAGTCAAGTTTTGAACATGGAGACTATACCAGTAACTAGTCAAGTTTTCAACATGGAAACTATACCAGCAACTAGTCAAGTTTTCAACATGGAAACTATACCAGCAACTTGTCAAGTTTTGAACATGGAGACTATACCAGCAACTAGTCAAGTTTTTAACATGGAGACTATACCAGCAACTAGTCAAGTTTTGAACATGGAAACTATACCAGCAACTAGTCAAGTTTTGAACATGGAAACTATACCAGCAACTAGTCAAGTTTTGAACATGGAGACTATACCAGCAACTAGTCAAGTTTTCAACATGGAGACTATCCCAGCAACTAGTCAAGTTTTGAACATGGAAACTATACCAGCAACTAGTCAAGTTTTGAACATGGAGACTATACCAGCAACTAGTCAAGTATTTAACATGGAGACTATACCAGCAACTAGTCAAGTTTTGAACATGGAGACTATACCAGCAACTAGTCAAGTTTTCAACATGGAGACTATACCAGCAACTAGTCAAGTTTTGAACATGGAGACTATACCAGCAACTAGTCAAGTTTTGAACATGGAAACTATACCAGCAACTAGTCAAGTTTTGAACATGGAGACTATACCAGCAACTAGTCAAGTTTTTAACATGGAGACTATACCAGCAACTAGTCAAGTTTTCAACATGGAGACTATACCAGCAACTAGTCAAGTTTTGAACATGGAGACTATACCAGCAAATAGTCAAGTTTTGAACATGGAGACTATACCAGCAACTAGTCAAGTATTTAACATTGAGACTATACCAGCAACTAGTCAAGTTTTGAACATGGAAACTATACCAGCAACTAGTCAAGTTTTGAACATGGAAACTATACCAGCAACTAGTCAAGTTTTGAACATGGAGACTATACCAGCAACTAGTCAAGTTTTGAACATGGAGACTATACCAGCAACTAGTCAAGTTTTAAACATGGAGACTATACCAGCAACTAGTCAAGTTTTCAACATGGAGACTATACCAGCAACTAGTCAAGTTTTGAACATGGAAACTATACCAGCAACTAGTCAAGTTTTGAACATGGAGACTATACCAGCAACTAGTCAAGTATTTAACATGGAGACTATACCAGCAACTAGTCAAGTTTTGAACATGGAAACTATACCAGCAACTAGTCAAGTTTTGAACATGGAAACTATACCAGCAACTAGTCAAGTTTTGAACATGGAGACTATACCAGCAACTAGTCAAGTTTTCAACATGGAGACTATACCAGCAACTAGTCAAGTTTTGAACATGGAGGCTATACCAGCACCTAGTCAAGTTTTGAACATGGAGACTATACCAGCAACTAGTCAAGTTTTGAACATGGAGACTACACCAGCAACTAGTCAAGTTTTCAACATGGAGACTATACCAGCAACTAGTCAAGTTTTCAACATGGAGACTATACCAGCAACTAGTCAAGTTTTCAACATGAAGACTATACCAGCAACTAGTCAAGTTTTGAACATGGAGACTTTACCAGCAACTAGTCAAGTTTTCAACATGGAAACTATACCAGCAACTAGTCAAGTTTTGAACATGGAGACTATACCAGCAACTAGTCAAGTTTTGAACATGGAGACTATACCAGCAACTAGTCAAGTTTTCAACATGGAGACTATACCAGCAACTAGTCAAGTTTTGAACATGGAGACTATACCAGCAACTAGTCAAGTTTTCAACATGGAGACTATACCAGCAACTAGTCAAGTTTTCAACATGGAGACTATACCAGCAACTAGTCAAGTTTTGAACATGGAGACTATACCAGCAACTAGTCAAGTTTTGAACATGGAGACTATACCAGCAACTAGTCAAGTTTTCAACATGGAGACTATACCAGCAACTAGTCAAGTTTTCAACATGGAGACTATACCAGCAACTAGTCAAGTTTTGAACATGGAGACTATACCAGCAACTAGTCAAGTTTTGAACATGGAGACTATACCAGCAACTAGTCAAGTTTTGAACATGGAGACTATACCAGCAACTAGTCAAGTTTTAAACATGGAAACTATACCAGCAACTAGTCAAGTTTTCAACATGGAGACTATACCAGCAACTAGTCAAGTTTTGAACATGGAGACTATACCAGCAACTAGTCAAGTTTTGAACATGGAGACTATACCAGCAACTAGTCAAGTTTTGAACATGGAGACTATACCAGCAACTAGTCAAGTTTTGAACATGGAGACTATACCAGCAACTAGTCAAGTTTTCAACATGGAGACTATACCAGCAACTAGTCAAGTTTTCAACATGGAGACTATAACAGCACCCAGGGGAAGGATGAGACGGATATACTATCAGACGGTTACAGGTACTATCGGCATTGAAACTCTTTGTTTGCTGTTGAATATGGGGATTAAGCACTTATGGGAGTGTCCTGAGTGCTGTGATGTCGAATCTTAATTCAAAATTCAACATTCGTCAATAGGACTCCTTTACCTCGTTGTATTACACTAGGTCTTTTAAAAAAAAATTGTTTTTATCGTTGGACCATTTCTGTTAATGTATGTTTCCATCTGGGTTAATCAGGGCAAAAATTCCATATCCCAGCATTCTGAACAAGTCCATGTTAGCCCCGGCTGCCTCCTCAACAGGCAGCGAAAAGTTTCAATAGCAGAAGTGCCTGTTGTCATCTGGTCAACTATTTGTCTTGCCTTGTCCAGAGTCTCGACCCAAATACAACCCCGACCGGCCACGAAATCGTCAACCGGCCAGCCAATGGGCGACCAGGTCACCCAAGGTTTCCAGTTTTTTGTGTGTGCATTTTCTCCGGTATAAGTATCCGTATCCCCATGGTTACCCCACTGGCTGGAAGTTTCCTTAACTTCTTTTCTCTTTTCTCAGGAATTTGAACTGATTGAAAGCTGGAGAAAAAACGTACAACAGAGAATCGCTGAGGCGTTTGGGCAGTTATGTTTGCTTCAGGAGGCACGGCAGCAGGTCCAGTCAGATTTGGAGGACAAGACCATCGCTATGGGGATTGACATAGACCAGTACAATCTGTCAGACCGCTCGCCGGGCATCACTTTCAAGCCGGACCCTTTGCGTGTTCCCAAGGGGTGAGTCACCATGTTGTGTGTGTGGCGGGGAGACGTCCACTCACGGCTGAGTCCTGGAAGACAATCCCCTTCTCATGTTATCATTGTCTGATACATCGTTCTTTTTCTCCTCCTCCTCCTCCTTGTGTTTCTTCCTCCTCTTTCTCCTTCTTCATCTTCATCTTCTTCTTCTATTTCTTCTTCTTCTTCTTCTTCTTCTTCTTCTTCTTCTTCTTCTTCTTCTTCTTCTTCTTCTTCTTCTTCTTCTTCTTCTTCTTCTTCTTCTTCTTCTTCTTCTCGCCCCCCCCCCTCTTTCTCATCCTCCTCTTCTACCTCACCCCCTCCCTTTTTGTTGTTGCTTGCTACCATGAAGGCTGCTGCTACAACCATATTTACTATGAAGAACCTGTTTAAAATGATCCATACAGCTACATGAGAAGTGGATCACTTGAGCCTTCAGTTGAATGTTTATGGCTAGACAGTTTGTGTTATCTCCTGTGTATTTATGCAGCTTATTAAGGTATGGAGCCGGCTGTTGATGAGAAGCCACATTGTCCAAGTGGGGAATTCATTGCTGTACCAATATGGCTCTGTTAGTGATTCACATAAATACAATACATTCGGAAACAACACACGTCCAGCAGACAAATAGACTGGACGTATTATCAAGAAACATCACCATATGTGTATTTATTTTATCGTGGGTTGTCACTAACGCTGGTACCAGCATAATGGGTCGCATGGACTAGAGCAGTGATTCCCAAATTTGTTGCTCGCGGAGACACTTTGTAGAAGGAATGTCTGTCACAGCCTCTCAGTCCCACCAAACCCGATGTTTGACAAGGTAGTGAGTGGTGTTTAGAAAGCATGTTCTGGGGCCAACAAAGAGGGTGGTGTTTAGAAAGCATATTCTGGGGCCAACAAAGAGGGTGGTGTTTAGAAAGCATGTTCTGTGGCCAACAAAGATGGCGGTGTTTAGAAAGCATGTTCTGGGGCCAACAAAGAGGGTGGTGTTTAGAAAGCATGTTCTGGGGCCAACAAAGAGGGTGGTGTTTAGAAAGCATGTTCTGGAGCCAACAAAGAGGGCGGTGTTTAGGAAGCATGTTCTGTGGCCAACAAAGAGGGTGGTGTTTAGAAAGCATGTGGCGAACAAAGAGGGTGTAGACAGAAGGAAAATTTAACATGTGTGTGTGTATATACAGTGTCGTACATACACATAGGTCCGCTGGGCACTTGTCGGGATGCCCCAGGAGCATAGACAGCCCTATCCTAATCTGTGTACGTCAAGCGACTGGCCATGCATAAACATGTCATTCCTGTGAGTGCTTGTCTTAGGGGCACTCTCAGACACGATTTTGAGTTCATCTTGTAAATGCATCTAAAACTTCGACCGATTGTGGTTTTGAAACGGGACTTTTAGTTCCATGTGAGCTGTTAAAAGTATAAGGTCCGCGTACTCCGCTGAGTTTAGGCGGATTTTCTTCCGCTGAACACATTCAGTACCCATGTAAATTATACATCTTCTAATGTGCCGCTGGTATGTAATTAAAAAGAGAATTTCCGCTCACAATCTAATTTCTAGTCTTCTTATTTTGATTCTGATTTTGGTTTCTTGTCGGCGTCTGTGGCCTATGCGTTGCTATCGCTCCTCGTAATGCCGAGGTGCCGGGTTCAAGTCCAGCTGCGGTCCTTGTGCGTTGCGTTGCTTTCTACAGTGGTATCGAGAAGCTGACCGCCCAAAGAGAAATGGCAAACAACTGGACGTAAATTTGGCTAAAAAAATCACAACCGCCAAAAGTTGCTAGGGTTGGTTCTGCGATGTCCTGTTAAGGATACGCAACTTACTAACTCAACTTTTGGTTTCTGAATCTTTAATGTCGTTACATTTTCACTTATTTTCCCGGAGTGGCCATGGAAGCGCCTAGGAAATGCTCGCGGAGTCATCCGGACTCCTTCGAGCAGATTTTGGGAGCCGATACAGCTTAACTATCATCATGTGTTTAACGTGTGGTAACTCCATCACTGTCATCCTGGTTTTGACTAACAGCAGCACCAGCATCCTGGAGTGGGATGAACGGAGTCGTTTCACCAAAGAGAAGGCCGAGTCGGAGCTGGCAGCGTCCAGCAAACTAAGGCTTGAGCTGTATCATACACTTCAACAGACAGCAAATGAGTTGGACGCCCAGAAACAAGCAACAGAGTACGCCTTCAGGAAAAGAATGCACATCTGTAAACGTGCTAAGGATGAACTGGAATATCAGAAAGCCACGGTATGTATGGCTGTGTTCGTTAGTTCACATAATCTCATAATCTCTCATGCCTTAGGGGCCCTTTATCGCTCTTCGCGAAACGAAATGTTTTGCCACACTTTCTCAGGTCTCAGTGTTCTACACCATTCATTTATAGAGGTTCTTCCCTCACTCATGTCTGAATGTTCTACACCACTCATGTCTGAATGTTCTACACCACTCATGTCTGAATGTTCTACACCACTCATGACTGAATGTTCTACAGCACTCATGTCTGAATGTTCTACACCACTCATGTCTTAATGTTCTACACCACTCATGTCTGAATGTTCTACACCACTTATGTCTGAATGTTCTACACCACTTATGTCTAAATGTTCTACACCACTTATGTCTAAATGTACTACAGCACCCGTGTCTGAATGTTCTACACCACTCATGTCTGAAGGCTCTACAGCACTCATGTCTGAATGTTCTACAGCACTTATGTCTGAATGTTCTACACCACTTATGTCTGAATGTACTACAGCACCCGTGTCTGAATGTTCTACACCACTCGTGTCTGAATTTTCTACACCACTTATGTCTGAATGTTCTACACCACTTATGTCTGAATGTTCTACACCACTTATGTCTAAATGTTCTACACCACTCATGTCTGAAGGTTCTACAGCAATCATGTCTGTATGTTCTACACCACTCATGTCTGAAGGCTCTACAGCACTCATGTCTGAATGTTCTACACCACTCATGTCTGAAGGCTCTACAGCACTCATGTCTGAATGTTCTACACCACTTATGTCTGAATGTTCTACACCACTTATGTCTGAATGTACTACAGCACCCGTGTCTGAATGTTCTACACCACTCGTGTCTGAATGTTTTACACCATTCGTATCTGAATGTTCTACAGCACTCGTGTCTGAATGTTCTACAGCATTCATATCTAAATGTTCTACATCATTTATGTCTGAATGTTCTACACCACTCGTGTCTGAATGTTCTACACCATTTGTATCTGAATGTTCTACACCACTCGTGTCTGAATGTTCTACAGCACTAATGTCTGAATGTTCTACACCACTTATGTCTGAACGTTCTACACCACCCGTGTCTAAGTGTTCTACACCACTCGTGTCTGAATGTTCTGCAGCACCCGTGTCTGAATGTTCTACAGCACTCATGTCTGAATGTTCTACAGCACCCGTGTCTGAATGTTCTACACCACTCGTGTCTGAATGTTCTACACCACTCGTGTCTGAATGTTCTACAGCACCCGTGTCTGAATGTTCTACACCACTCGTGTCTAAATTTTCTACAGCACCAGTGTCTGAATGTTCTACACCCACATTTGTCTGAATGTTCTACACCACTGATGTCTTAATGTTCTACAGCACTCATGTCTGAATGTTCTACAGCACCCGTGTCTGAATGTTCTACACCACTCGTGTCTGAATGTTCTACACCACTCGTGTCTGAATGTTCTACACCACTCGTGTCTGAATGTTCTACAGCACCCGCGTCTGAATGTTCTACAGCACTCGTGTCTGAATGTTCTACACCACTCGCGTCTGAATGTTCTACACCACCCGTGTCTGAATGTTCTACAGCACTCGTGTCTGAATGTTCTACACCACTCGTGTCTGAATTTTCTACAGCACCCGCGTCTGAATGTTCTACAGCACTCGTGTCTGAATGTTCTACAGCACTCGTGTCTGAATGTTCTACACCACTCGTGTCTGAATGTTCTACAGCACCCGCGTCTGAATGTTCTACAGCACTCGTGTCTGAATGTTCTACAGCACTCGTGTCTGAATGTTCTACAGCACTCGTGTCTAAATGTTTTACACCACTCGTGTCTGAATGTTCTACACCATTCGTGTCTAAATGTTCTACACCACCCGTGTCAAAATGTTTTACACCACTCGTGTCTGAATGTTCTACACCACCCGTGTCTGAATGTTCTACACCACTCATGTCTGAATGTTCTACACCACTCATGTCTGAATGTTCTACAGCACTGGTGTCTAAATGTTCTACAGCACTCGTGTCTGAATGTTATACACCACTCGTGTCTGAATGTTCTACAGCACCCGTGTCTGAATGTTCTACACCACTCGTGTCTGAATGTTCTACATCACTCATGTCTGAATGTTCTATAGCACTCGTGTCTGAAGGTTCTACAGCACTCATGTCTAAATCTTCTAAAGCACTCATGCCTAAATCTTCTACAGCACTCGTGTCTGAAGGTTATACAGCACTCATGTCTGAATGTTCTACACCACTTATGTCTGAATGTTCTACAGCACTCAAGTCTGAATGTTCTACACCACTCATGTCTGAATGTTCTACACCACTTATGTCTGAATGTTCTACACCACCTATGTCTGAATGTTCTACACCACTTATGTCTAAATGTTCTACACCACTTATGTCTGAATGTACTACAGCACCCGTGTCTGAATGTTCTACACCACTCATGTCTGAAGGCTCTACAGCACTCATGTCTGAATGTTCTACACCACTTATGTCTAAATGTTCTACACCACTTATGTCTGAATGTACTACAGCACCCGTGTCTGAATGTTCTACACCACTCGTGTCTGAATTTTCTACACCACTTATGTCTGAATGTTCTACACCACTTATGTCTGAATGTTCTACACCACTTATGTCTAAATGTTCTACACCACTCATGTCTGAAGGTTCTACAGCACTCATGTCTGTATGTTCTACACCACTCATGTCTGAATGTTCTACACCACTTATGTCTGAATGTTCTACACCACTTATGTCTGAATGTACTACAGCACCCGTGTCTGAATGTTCTACACCACTCGTGTCTGAATTTTCTACAGCACCCGTGTCTGAATGTTCTACATCACTCATGTTTAAATGTTCTACACCACTCGTGTCTGAATTTTCTACAGCACCCGTGTCTGAATGTTCTACACCACTCATGTCTGAATTTTCTACAGCACCCGTGTCTGAATGTTCTACACCACTCGTGTCTGAATGTTTTACACCATTCGTATCTGAATGTTCTACAGCACTCGTGTCTGAATGTTCTACAGCATTCATATCTGAATGTTCTACACCATTTATGTCTTAATGTTCTACACCACTCGTGTCTGAATGTTCTACACCATTTGTATCTGAATGTTCTACACCACTCGTGTCTGAATGTTCTACAGCACTCATGTCTGAATGTTCTACACCACTTATGTCTGAACGTTCTACACCACCGTGTCTAAGTGTTCTACACCACTCGTGTCTGAATGTTCTGCAGCACCCGTGTCTGAATGTTCTACATCACTTATGTTTGAATGTTCTACACCACTCGTGTCTGAATGTTCTACACCACCCGTGTCTGAATGTTCTACACCACTCATGTCTGAATGTTCTACACCACTCATGTCTGAATGTTCTACAGCACTCGTGTCTAAATGTTCTACAGCACTCGTGTCTGAATGTTATACACCACTTGTGTCTGAATGTTCTACAGCACCCGTGTCTGAATGTTCTACACCACTCGTGTCTGAATGTTCTACATCACTCATGTCTGAATGTTCTACACCACTAATGTCTGAATGTTCTACAGTACACATATCTGAATGTTCTTTAGCACTCATGTCTGTATTTTTTCTACAGCACTCATGTCTGAATGTTTTACAGCACCCGTGTCTGAATGTTCTACACCACTCGTGTCTGAATGTTCTACACCACTCGTGTCTGAATATTCTACAGCACTCGTGTCTGAATGTTCTACAGCACCCGTGTCTAAATGTTCTACACCACTCGTGTCTGAATGTTCTACAGCACTCGTGTCTAAATGTTCTACAGCACCAGTGTCTGAATGTTCTACACCACTCGTGTCTGAATGTTTTACACCATTCGTGTCTAAATGTTCTGCACCACCAGTGTCTGAAAGTTTTACACCACTTTTGTTTGAATGTTCTACACCACTGATGTCTTAATGTTCTACACCACTCATGTCTGAATGTTCTACAGCACCCGTGTCTGTATGTTCTACACCACCCGTGTCTGAATGTTCTACACCAATCATGTCTGAATGTTCTACAGCACCCGTGTCTGAATGTTCTACACCACTCATGTCTCAATGTTCTACAGCACCCGCGTCTGAATGTTCTACACCACTCGTGTCTGAATGTTCTACACCACTATATATATATATATATATATATATATATATATATATATATATATATATATATATATATATATATATATATATATATATATACACGCTTCCCCCCCCCCCCCCAAATCATTTCGGGGCTGAATGTTCTACATTCAGAATATTTTATTGTTTTTGAGAGAATAAAAGCTAGGTCATCTCACTGTAGTTGGCAGGACACTTGGGGCAGCCACATCGATGATTTCGCTATAGTTGTTCCTTTCTTGTTGTTGCAGATAATAAAAGAGGTGACAGAACATCAGAGTGAGCTTCGGGGCTTGGAGGAGAGCATCAGGAAGAGAAACCGATCCACCATGAAGGCAGAGACCCGGATGGAGAACCGAACTTATCGGCCCAATAAAGAGATGTGTTTTGATGCAGCCCACTACGGTCTGGTGGACGAGGTCAAGCAGCTGCGTGCCACCACCGTGTCGCTGGAGGAGAAGCTGCAGCAGGCACAGTAAGTCAGAGCCGGTTCAACTCATGACAAATGGTTACTCTATTACTTTATGCTGAGCTGTTTCCATAGGACCATGGGATATATATATATATATATATGGTCGGCGTCTGTGGCTCAGGCGTTGCGAACGCGCTTCATAATGTCGGGGTGCCGGGTTCGATACCAGCTGCGGACGATTTGTCTTGCGTTGGTTTTGAAACAGTGGTACCGAGCGCTGACCGTGCAACCGCAATGGCAAACTACTAAACGTAAAATTTTCTTAGAAATACCACAACAGTAAAAAAGGCTAGGGTTGGTTCTGCAACGTCCTGCAAAGGAGACGCAACTAACTTTATAATATATATATGTGTGTGTGTAAGTAGAGAGGATCGCCTTCATCGCTTCGGATTTGATCCCCCATGACTCGGTCTCTCTCCCCAGGACGGCTAACCGCCTGATGAGAGCGTCGCACAAAGTAGCTCCACTAACGATCCCAGTAGTATCCCCTGTCAAAGTTGACATAAAGGGCAGGAAACAAAAGCAAAGAGATCAATACCTTGATGGCTTGGTCATGTGTATGGGTCGGCAGGAAAGCACCGCCCAATCCAAGATCCTGCTGCCTGTGTAGGGTGGCAAAAGATCACCGCTTAAGATTTTCGACAAGGCACATGATGGTGATATTTCACAGGAGAGGGGCGCTGGGTTGATTTTTTTTTAAACTGAAAAAGGGCGATGAGATCCTCCGCCCCCCCCCCCTCCCCACTCAAGTTTGAGAAACATTGGTGTACACAAATCCTTGTGTTCAGACTTTCATGTACACAGTTAAATTGTGCTTGTGTTCAGACAATCATGTACACAGTTAAATTGTGCTTGTGTTCAGACAATCATGTACACAGTTAAATTGTGCTTGTGTTCAGACAATCATGTACACAGTTAAATGTTGCATGTATTCAGACAGTCGTGTACACAGTTCAATGTTTGCCTGTCTTTCTTCCTAGCAACGCCCTCGACGCCCTGGCTAGAAACATGGATCGTCTCAACGACCAGATTTCCTTGAAGAATCAAACCTTACGTCTGGACCAGCAGTGCTTGGACATCCGGCAGAAACTCAACCCTCCCGCCCAGAAGGGGATCGAGAACAACCTGATCCTGACAGGAATCGAGAGGATGAAGTCGGCTGTCCTGGCCTAGCCTGTAATACCATCTACATGTCCTAGAATACCTCGTCACCACTCCTTCACGATCTATACAAGTATTCCCCAGGCATGTCACAACATGAACAGTGAAACCGAGTTGATATCAAAGGTTTTGCAAAGGTTTGAAACTTCAAACTGAAGATTAAACGAACTTTTAAAAATATATACACTAGTGACATGCTAAGTCGGAGGCAAGGAACTGAAAATGTTGCATTTATAATAATTAACATCATCAAAGGATACGTTTGAAAAAGAAAATTAATATCAACAATATATATATATGGTTATATTCATACACATCTGTGGTACATTATTTCTGTACTGGTTGTAACTTAACACAGTATAGAACCTGGTGTGTTTTATTGAAACAACGATAAGAAGAAGAGTTAATAAATTGTGTTGGTTTCTTGTGTACACAAAATAAGAACCTGATGTTCTGTGAATTTGTATAAACACATTGTGTACACAAGGCAGCTAGGATAATAAAATCTCTTGGCACAACCAATGATTGGGATATTCTGTTTGTCCTTGGGGAAAGATTGCATGTCTCCATCTATCAAGTTCATGCTGATTAAACAATTGTATATAAATGCGACTTCCGGTTACTGTTTTTTTTTCCAAATAATTTCCAATACATTGTGTGTTTATGTTGTTGTTAACTCTGAGAGTATCCGGGATTATGAGTGATTATTCACAGTTAAAATTTCATCTTTCTGATACAACACCTTGCCTCCTGGCGTGGGCGATCGTGTTTGTCCACATCTTTCTGATACAACACCTTGCCCCCTGGCGTGGGCGATCATCTTTGTCCACATCTTTCTGATACAACACCTTGCCTCCTGGCGTGGGCAATCGTGTTTGTCCACATCTTTCTGATACAACACCTTGCCTCCTGGCGTGGGCAATCGTGTTTGTCCACATCTTTCTGATACAACACCTTGCCTCCTGGCGTGGGCAATCGTGTTTGTCCACATCTTTCTGATACAACACCTTGCCTCCTGGCGTGGGCAATCGTGTTTGTCCACATCTTTCTGATACAACACCTTGCCTCCTGGCGTGGGCAATCGTGTTTGTCCACATCTTTCTGATACAACACCTTGCCTCCTGGCGTGGGCGATCGTGTTTGTCCACATCTTTTTGATACACCACCTTGCCTCCTGGCGTGGGCCATCGTGTTTGTCCACATCTTTCTGATACAACACCTTGCCTCCTGGCGTGGGCGATCGTGTTTGTTCACATCTTTCTGATACAACACCTTGCCTCCTGGCGTGGGCGATCGTGTTTGTTCACATCTTTCTGATACAACACCTTGCCTCCTGGCGTGGGCGATCGTGTTTGTCCACATCTTTCTGAGACAACACTTTGCCCCCTGGCGTGGGCGATCGTGTTTGTTCACACCTTTCTGATACAACACCTTGCCTCCTGGCGTGGGCGATCGTGTTTGTTCACATCTTGCTGATACAACACCTTGCCTCCTGGCGTGAGCGATCGTGTTTGTCCACATCTTTCTGATAAACACCTTGCCCCATGTCAAGAAGAAGAAAACCGTCCACAATGCGGATTTGAAACCAAAATCTTCGGGCCGGCTGACCAACGTCCAGTGGCTAGGCTGTCGCCGTCCCTTTCCACACGCCATAGCAAATAACATGTATGTAAACAATATACTCAGTCTCCCATAGCAGATATTGAAGCTCAACATGACCAGGATGCAGACCTTTGACATCTGTGAGGAAAACGAAGGGAAGACCAAGAAAGAGACTGATAAATGGTGTCTGTGAAACGATTCACAAATCTTATCAGCCAAGCCACCCGAGAAATGCAAAAACAAATACAGAAAACCACTACCATGGGCTACAACCTGGTATCCGTGAGACGACAAGAGAACAAGAAGAAGGTTGAAGTGTATAGGTGCTTCACCACACACTATGGGAGTTGTTAGCTTAAAAACACTAGGAGACATTCTCGGGAGCAGATCGGAGCACTTATAGTCATGTGCGATGAGGATCATCTTTAAATGAACAATGAACATCAAACACTAGTTTAATACATTTTGAACACGTTGTAGTAATTAACATGCAGCATACGTGTTAGTCTGTATCGTGTCTTCAGTCTACACAGCAACCTCTTATGACATGCTTCACATTAAACACAAGTTTTTGCCTAGTCGTTGGCGCTACGGAAGATGTGTTTATGTGCACGCTGACCAATATATATATATATATATATATATATATATATATATATATATATATGCTGTAGAAGTTAACCATTCTGTTGTATCACTGCCGTGGATTCACATTTACCTGCTAGTCCTAATTTTGAAATGTTCTATTGCACAGACTGACTGGCACCTTTCCGTCTTTCCCTGTTATACTACGCTATGAGGAGACATGCGACTCACAGCCCATGGCGATGGCGAGTGTGACTAGCAAGACCCGCCCGCGTTAAGAAATGTCTTCCACAATTATAACATGGGATTTCAGGACCGTTGTTGTCGACATCTGTGTTAAGTCTGTTTCTTCTCTGACGCTCAGCTCTCATCCTTTCTGTAATCGTCTTGCTTAATTTTCAATTCGCGTGCCCACTCCACACAATCCGGTTCATATGATTTTGTTCCCACGAGTCCACCTCAACATCTGTATCATTAATGTCCCGCTTGCACAATCTTTATCGTAGAAGAGGTCAACCTCGACATCTTTTACCCGTCTGTAATTCACCATAGATGATGTCAACTGCACAGATTGTACACACTATATGAGAGCACTATAATTAATCAAAGAATTCTAAGAAGCTGTGGGAAGACCTGCTCATTTCGCATGTGTAAGAGGTTTAATAAAATAACGCGCTAGCAGGTAACGATTACACTGGGTGAGGGTATGGCGTGATATTTTCGCATTCGTTGCTTAGCTGTGGAGAGTATACTTGCGCAGCTAGCATGGTACTATTAGTAACAGACGATAGTTTCTACACGGGACGTTTTCTGCATAAGGGGCGTAAGCACGCAGACAGCGTTCTTTTCTCTATGGTAAAACGAATCCAGAGACAGTTCAAGGTCTGAATAGAACAGTCTGGTAGTCTGGTAGTCTTAGTTTCAGCTTCATAGCAAACGGGTCGCCCCATCTTTGCTCCGCTCCTGTGCCAGCGAAAAACACTCAGAATGTCTATCACAGTCCCTTGTGGAAAGATTGACAGACTGCTGTCTCAGCATATCTAGCATACACTCGCATTAAAGCATACGCTGAATAGAACAGGACAACGGGGAGTGACCATGCATTCTGGGACCGCATTTTCAAAACTCAGGGAAAAGACAAGGCGGTCATACAAGGTTGTTAGTAATACCGCCGCAACAGGAACTCTGCGCTGGCTGCTAAAGATGGGGACGGATCCCTTATGGTAATGTCCCGAGAGTTATGGTGTTAGTTCCTGAATCAACTGAACTTGTATTGTTATTCACTTGTTTACAACAACAACAAAAACCGAATATAGGCCAAGTGGTGCATGTACGAGTCACGAGACCGGAACAGTGTTACCATTTTGGATCTTTTATATCCAAATTTAGATCTTTTTCATTGCATTTAGATACTGTTTTTGACGTTTAGATCGTAAATATTTTTCTAGATTTTTTCATATGGAGTTAGATATTTTATAGATTTTTTCTTCTTTCATTGTCAATTTAATAATTACTGTGTAAAATATTTACTACAATATTTTTGTTTTTGGTCTGGCACGTACATTGTGACAACTGCCATTACTTAAACTTTGAACTCTCTCTGGGGTCAACGCACAAATATCTGGCAGCCCCGGTACTGATTAATAAAAACGCGCGTAAATCATATTAACTTTGTTTCAACCGTATTTCCACTGTGCTGACTTTGCGTTTTTTTTCATGTGATTAAAAAAAAATAATTGCTGACCTTCTTATGTGGCTTTCACTTTGAAAAAACCTTTCAACATGCCAAAAGTAAAGTATGAGCAAAAAATTTGGAAAGAGTGGTTGCATGATGACAAAATTAAAAACTGGGGATATGACCAAAGCTTGTTGTAAGTACTGCAAGTGTGAAATTAAAGCGAAAATACAAAACTCAAAGAGTCATGCAGAGACCCCAAAAAAAAAAAAAAGCATAAAACTGCAGTTTCATTTAAAGATATTAAACCGCTGACATCTGTTTTCAGAACTATACTGATAAATGAATGATCAAAAGTTGAAGTATCAGTCGCAATGTTTTTAATTTGTCACTGCGCAATTTCAAACTTGACCATTTGATCGATTTGTAAAAAATCTTGGACTAGTTCAATTTGAAAAGTGTGCAGCAAACAGTTAGGCTTGAAGAATTTGGCTGTAATTGGTACTGATAATGCCTCAGTGATGGTTGGTATAAACAATGACGTTTATGCCAAGTTGAAGGAAGCTAACCCATCGTTAATACTTATAAAATGTATGCGTCATTCATTACAGCTAGCATTATCACATGTTTCATCTAAATATTTACCAAGGAATTTGGAATACCTTATTGCTGAAACACTTTACTGGTTTTCAAAATCATTTGTCAGACAACAGCAATACAATACATTATATACAGCCTTGAATGATGGTTCCACACCACCGAAAATTCTGTCAGATTGCAAAACTAGATGATTATCAATTTAACCAGCTGTTGAAAGAATTATGAAGCAATGGCTGAAGTTGAAGACACACTTTGAAATAACAAGACAAAGTGAAAAGTGCTACACAGTTGAAATACTTTATGGAATGTACAGTGATGAAAAAAATTTGTCATTCATTCTCTTTTTATAACCTATTCTAATGGAAGTGCAAAAAGTTAATAAACTGTTCGATTCTAAACTTGTTGATAAAGTTAAATTACTTGATGATCTCACCTTGCTATTTCACTCGGTAAAAGACTGGTGTTGCCAACTTCTAAAGTTGATTTGCTCACTTGCACTATAGAGAGCTATTTGGCTCCTAAGTCACACCTTGGATATTAAATCGAATCAAAAATTGATGATTTAAAAACAAAAGGACCGCTAACAGAGAATGATGAGAACAACTTAAGAAAACGCTGTCGAGATTTCCTTAACTCATTATTGAAGCAATTGAAGCAGAGACTTCCTGAAAATCTAGATGTTTTGAAAAATACTTTCCATTTTTTCTATGAGCAACATACTTCAGCCAATAAAGGACATACCTAAATATTGTAAAGTTATGAATTGTTTAGGGGCTCTGATAATAGTGTCGCGGAAGCAGAATATCAGTTAACCAAAATAAAGTTAGCTGAATGGACAAACAAAACAGAAACTACAGCGTTTTGGAGTGAAGTGAGACAATTTAAAGATGCCTCATCAAACAGTCCATTCTGTAAGCTCTTTAAAGTGCCATATCTGCCATGATACTACCCCACTCAAATGCTGACATAGAAAGAGTTTTCAGTGCTAGGAGTTATATCAAATCTAACCTAAAAAACAGGATGAAATTTGACCTCTTAAATGCTATCGTGCCATTAAAATTCGGCCTGATGAGACTAGAGAAATAAGCCTACTGTTCCACTAATAAAGAAATTTGAACAGCTAAAGCATACCAGGGTCATTTTGGATCTGAAGCTTCAACTTCATTATCCAAGCTAAGTTTATCCTGTGGATCCTGTGAGGCAGACATCAGTGAAGGTGAGGACATGATTATATAGGGTGAGTCATAACAAAAGCTATAAAAGGTTTGACTTTTTCAATTTGGATGTTTTTTCTAGATCTTTTCCACGCAGATTTAGATCTTTTTAGATATTTTTTGACACCGTTTTGGATATTTATTGTCAAAGAAAAGTGGCAACACTGGACCGGAAGCTTCAACAAGCGGTACTTTCTAACTAGAGAGACAAAGTCCAGCTGACGACTGCTAGCCATACATCCAGCCCTGGCTTCGTCCCCAGCTCTCAGGTTTGTATCATTGATCAGCTCATCCCAAGTCTCAGACTTGTCTCACTTATCCGCATACACAACTCAGGTGATCTGTTGTAACCTTTGTGTGTATTGTTGCTAGTTCTACTGACTGTGACTGCTGGTACCATCACTGTTCATCACAGTTGGAACTCTGCGCTGGCTGCTGAAGATGGGGGGAAAAGCATTTATCGCAGTGTCCTGAGTAGCTACATTAACATTAGTCAAATTTTTTAAATGCCCTCTACACCAATAAAAGCAGCACAGTTAGATAGTTGTAAACAATCTCTTTCCAACGGTACCTCATTTAGGCTTGTATGTCATTTCTGAGCTGAGATATGTAGGTTTTTGTGGAGATGAGATGTAAAAAAACAGCTGTTAAAACTTGCGTCCCAGAAACATTGTTTCAAACAAGGTTTTCTCTGCGCAACCAAACTGCGCACTTTCGTTTTGGCTTTGTTTACATTGAAAATTAGAGCGTGTAGAATTATTTGAAATAAATAAACTAGTATACAGGTCGACTGGGTGTGACCAGACGTTGCTCTGCAGCTCCGCCAAGAAAGAACACTCTTACAAGACATGTTCTGGAGTCTGTTTAGCATGAAGACACTGGCAGAGAGCTGTTTGGCTCATGCCTAATTTATATGAGTGTTGATTGAGTCTGCAGTGTCCAATGCGTAAGTAAAAAACTGCGACTTGGTCTGTCCACTTAAAATGTTTAAGAAAATCTTTTTCATGGTTATAACCTGTGTTTGTTCTTCAGTCTGTTTCTGATTTTCTATTAACTATTAGTGTGAATTTTGACTTCTGGAAAAGGTAGTGGCTGGTAGATTTGTGGTTTTCTGCTGTCTTCCAAAGCTAGAGCATCAGCTCTTTCATTGCCTTTGATGCCACAATGCGATTTTATCCACCTCATGTGGGTTTCTGTCTTTTTTGACAACTCATAGCAGAACGTAATATGGCAGTACTTGTTATAGCCATAATTTTCTGTGGTCTGTGAATAATGTGATAAACAACCCAATGGCTCTTCACAGAAAATGTTTTCCACCACTGTTTTCCAAGTATAATTATAATTACTAAAATTGTTGGATAGCTCTTGAGAAATGCAATCCAACAGCACCTCATTCAAGTGCCAGTCTTAGAGCAAAGTGAATTTTAAGTCTACAATTATATAAATAATCAGAAAATAATTTTAGATGATGCATTTCAACATTTTAATTACTGTAACCTTTTTTGTGTGTGTTTTTTTGGCAACCCAGACATCTCACTCTCACTCTGACCCTCACTCTCACTCTGACATATTTGTAGTGAACTAAATCTCTGTAACGATATAATTAAATATGCTAATGAAAACATTCTCATTGTCTGTGAAACAGTGTGAGACACTGCTAGGCGTGACAGGAGATAACCATGTCCTCTGAAACATTACATCCAGACGACCAGATTTCCCATTGGAAGGACAGATGGGACAAAGGACAGATTGGCTTCCACAGAACATATGTGAACCCGTATGTCAGTTTGTCTTTAAATGAAGCTACAGTTATGTATTTGTTAGGGGTCATACACTGCGGGGAGGGGAAGGCGAGTTCTTGAGATTTCACTTTACTTCTTCAAGAGAACAGTCTCGACACCAGATGGGCTGTGACAACCAGCCAGCCAACTAGTCTAGCTGCCAGATAACCAGCCAGCCAACCAGTCTAGCAACCAGACAACCTTTACTTAGCCAACAAGTTATTTAAGATAATTAAAAAGGTCAGATGTCTATTATGCATGTTAATGTAACAGAGAAGTGGGACAGTTGAGCCTGTCATGTAAGCTGTAGCGAATCTTGTGAGGAGGGGGACAGTCTGGGTGAAGTTAAACCTTTCATGTAAGCTGTAGTGAATCTTGTGAGGAGTGGGACAGACCGGGTGAAGTTGAGACTGTCATGTAAGTTGTAGCAAATCTTGTGAAGAGTGGGACAGACCGGGTGAAGTTGAGCCTGTCATGTAAGTTGTAGCAAATCTTGTGAGGAGTGGGACAGACCGGATGAAGTTGAGCCTGTCATGTAAGTTGTAGCAAATCTTGTGAGGAGTGGGACAGACCGGGTGAAGTTGAGTCTGTCATGTAAGTTGTAGCAAATCTTGTAAAGAGTGGGACAGACCGGGTGAAGTTGAGTCTGTCATGTAAGTTGTAGCAAATCTTGTGAGGAGTGGGACAGACTGGGTGAAGTTAAGTCTGTCATGTAAGTTGTAGCGAATCTTGTGAGGAGTGGGACAGACCGGGTGAAGTTGAGTCTGTCATGTAAGTTGTAGCGAATCTTGTGAGGAGTGGGACAGACCGGGTGAAGTTGAGTCTGTCATGTAAGTTGTAGCAAATCTTGTGAGGAGTGGGACAGACCGGGTGAAGTTGAGTCTGTCATGTAAGTTGTAGCAAATCTTGTGAGGAGTGGGACAGACCGGGTGAAGTTGAGTCTGTCATGTAAGTTGTAGCGAATCTTGTGAGGAGGGTTGCCTGGTAGAAAAAGAATTCAGTCCATCACTACTGATTAAACCTTAGTGGATTAAATAAAAGAAGTATAGAGCTGGTGCAGATCCTTTGGGTGATTACTGTATGTAAATGAGAGATAAATAGATAGACAAACTGACAGACAGACTGAAATATAGAGAGAAAAAGAGCTGTCACAGTCGGTTGCCGTGGCTACAATAAGTTGCCTGTGGCCCAACAAATCTCTGCTGTGTGGGAGATCATTGATGTATTTGCTGTCTATAGTCTAATAGAGGATGTTTGTAACCTGATGGAGGCTGTATGTAACCTGATGGAGGCTGTATGTAACCTGATGGAGGCTGTATGTAACCTGATGGAGGCTGTATGTAACCTGATGGAGGCTGTATGTAACCTGATGGAGGCTGTATGTAACCTGATGGAGGCTGTATGTAACCTGATGGAGGCTGTATGTAACCTGATGGAGGCTGTATGTAACCTGATGGAGGCTGTATGTAACCTGATGGAGGCTGTATGTAACCTGATGGGGGCTGTATGTAACCTGATGGAGGCTGTATGTAACCTGATAGGCGCTGTATGTAACCTGATGGGGTATGTATGTAACCTGATGGGGGCTGTATGTAACCTGATGGAGGCTGTATGTAACCTGATGGGGGCTGTATGTAACCTGATGGGGGCTGTATGTAACCTAATGAAGGCTGTATGTAACCTGATGAAGGCTGTATGTAACCTGATGAAGGCTGTATGTAACCTGATGGCGGCTGTATGTAACCTGATGGCGGCTGTATGTAACCTGATGGGGGCTGTATGTAACCTGATGGGGGCTGTATGTAACCTGATGAAGGCTGTATGTAACCTGATGAAGGCTGTATGTAACCTGATGAAGGCTGTATGTAACCTGATGGAGGCTGTATGTAACCTGATGAAGGCTGTATGTAACCTGATGGGGGCTGTATGTAACCTGATGGGGGCTGTATGTAACCTGATGGGGGCTGTATGTAACCTGATGGCGGCTGTATGTAACCTGATGAAGGCTGTATGTAACCTGATGGGGGCTGTATGTAACCTGATGGAGGCTGTATGTAACCTGATGGAGGCTGTATGTAACCTGATGGGGGCTGTATGTAACCTGATGGGGGCTGTATGTAACCTGATGGGGGCTGTATGTAACCTGATGGAGGCTGTATGTAACCTGATGGGGGCTGTATGTAACCTGATGGGGGCTGTATGTAACCTGATGGGGGCTGTATGTAACCTGATGGGGGCTGTATGTAACCTGATGGAGGCTGTATGTAACCTGATGGAGGCTGCAAATAACCTATTTAAGGCTGTATGTAACCTGTTTGCCTTGTGCTGCAAAAATCCTAGATTCATTTCTCTGATGTGTCATTTAGTTTCAGAGTATAGTTTTTAATAGAGATCCGGTTGGAGCTAAGGAGTTCATTGTTTGTGTGAGGCAGCTACCGGTTCTGCGGAGTGAGACCGAGCCATATGGGGATAAAACCCAGTGCAATGAGTTTAATTCACTTGACTAACTTTAACTTGCTAATATGTTTAATAATTTTGAACTCTGGAGTAACAGAGTTTGAAACAGTCTGTTCTGTGACTTGCTACAGGGCACTACAGAGACATGTGGAAAAGTTAATTCCCGAGGCTGGAGCCAATGCTGTCTTCTTCCCGCTGTGTGGAAAGTCAGTAGACATGAAGTGGTGAGAACTGTCTGGTCTCTTGTCTCCACTTGTAACTGTAGGATTTTGTTGGGGATTCACAGAGTAGATGCTATTGATTGTTGTGGTTTTGGACTTCAGTGGCTGCACATTCAAGTTAACTGGTGTGTGTATGTTGACCATGGTTATAGTTAACTTTCTTTCCTTTTTTGTTTCCTTTCTTTCTTTTTTTTTTTTCATTCTTTCTTTCTTACGTGATTTATTTCTTAGTCTTCTTTTCTGCTAGATTATTGAGGAAGCTTGTGATATTTTAAAAACATTTATTTTGGCATATTTTTGACACATACAAGCACACAGACAGACTAACCGGTGGGCAGACTGGCTGAGTTGAAGAGAAACATTGGCAGTGAGTCTGCCAGCTATCTAAAAACAAAGCTGTTGAAGATTGTTATTTGTCGCTGTGAATTCTGGGTTAAGTATAATCTTCCTTTTCTGTGCTAACCCTTAAAATAGAATTTGGTATGTTGTGATTGACAGCTAGACTGCAGTATCTGTGCCTTTTGGGCCAGCACATTTGATTTCAGCAAATACAAATTAGAAGTCTTGTTAGGGGGCACAAGGTCTATTCTCTTCTTCTTTTCCAAATAGAGCTCAGAACCTCCACCCAGATAGAGTCTCAGAACCTCCACCCAGATAGAGCCCCAGAACCTCCACCCATATAGAGCCCCAGAACCTCCACCCAGATAGAGCCCCAGAACCTTCACTCAAATAGAGCCCCAGAACTCTACCCAGATAGAGCCCAAGAACTCCACCCAGATAGAGCCCCATAACCTCCACACAGAGAGTTCAGTCAACTATGAGCATATTGTTACTATCAACTTTGAGTATAATGTTGTTACCAGATGCTACTTGTGTGTACCAGGATGGCAGACCGAGGTTTGACTGTTATTGGAGTTGAGGGGGTTCAGTCAGCTATTGAACAGTTCTTCCATGAACAGCTTCTGGACTATGTAGTTGATGAGGTGCCCAGTGCTGGCAGTGGTGCCAAAGTTTATCAGGTATGTCATATTTAATATTTTCTTATCTTCCATGTGTCTTGTTTCTTAATTTGTTATTGTGATGAGGTGCTTTGCATGGTCTCCACGCTTACATTGTGGCAAGTAGAAAGTCCGTGCTACAAGCGACCGCACGAGATACTTTGGGCTGGTCGAGTCAGTGAGGGGAAGCCCAAGCTGGACTCGTGATCAGTTGCTTACGAGAAGTCGAGGAAGACAGTTGTGTTAATAGAAGATGTCGTTTCAATGTCTTGAGAATGATTCGTGGATGTCTGAATAATTGTTGGAACAGTGTAGGAGAATGTGATCGAATGAACTGACATAAATGTATAAAGGAACTGAGAGCCATTTGTGTTATCAATCCTAGACGTTAGAGCAGTGCAAGTAGCTATGTTGCAGTAATCATATAAAGCCGAATCATGGCGAAAGCAGATACGTTGTAAGCCAAGGTTCATCGCAGTTATGTTCATTTGTTATCTGTTTTAATAGATTCGACGTCTGTTTCAGTGTTTTGTATTACTTTGTAATGGTGTGAAAAAAATGTTTTATTAGTATGCTATTGGATCTGATGTATCAGTTTTATGTTAGTCATGATTCTTTTGTTTTATAACCTGAGGATTTTTAATTGTTCTGATGATTTTAAATATTTCTAATAAATTAATATAAAATAATAATCTAAAATAAACCTAACAATATAAAATTAACCTGATAATTTATATTATTTCCAATGATTTAAAACAAAGCTAATGATTTACACAATGAACCTATGTTTTTTTTTTCATTTGTTTTAAAAGCCTCTAGTTGTTTCTAGTTGCTGAGATACTTTGTCTGCTAATGCCCATTCTGTTTTCTGCTGTGTCTCCACCAACAAGCACAGAGTCATGATGGCAGGATCAGACTGTACCATTGCGATATCTTTCACTTCACAAGGTCAGTTTTCAGCAAGTTTGTCAACCTTTCAGATACAAGGAGTTCAGTCAGTTTGTTGCATATCCTTTACAGGATGTCATAGACCAATCCTAAAACTTGTTGGCTGGTTGTGGTTTTAGTAAGCGGTTTTGCTTTGAGTAGTTTGCCATTGCTATCTGATTGGTCAAAACAAAGTAGTCTGCTGACATATTGATTGCAACTGATTGGAACCAGACAATTGAGAATTACAAACCACTTTGGTAAATCCTGAGCTTACAGACACCTTCTAAAATGGGTAGAGTTCTATGATCACAGTCATGATATACTGCTGGATTCAACATATTCTGTGTAGTCAGCAAACACAGTCATGATATACTGCTGGATTCAACACATTCTGTGTAGTCAGCAAACACAGTCATGATATACTGCTGGATTCAACATATTCTGTGTAGTCAGCTGACACAGTCATGATATACTGCTGGATTCAACATATTCTGTGTAGTCAGCTGACACAGTCATGATATACTGCTGGATTCAACATATTCTGTGTAGTCAGCAAACACAGTCATGATATACTGCTGGATTCAACACATTCTGTGTAGTCAGCAAACACAGTCATGATATACTGCTGGATTCAACACATTCTGTGTAGTCAGCAAACACAGTCATGATATACTGCTGGATTCAACACATTCTGTGTAGTCAGCAAACACAGTCATGATATACTGCTGGATTCAACACATTCTGTGTAGTCAGCAAACACAGTCATGATATACTGCTGGATTCAACATATTCTGTGTAGTCAGCTGACACAGTCATGATATACTGCTGGATTCAACATATTCTGTGTAGTCAGCTGACACAGTCATGATATACTGCTGGATTCAACACATTCTGTGTAGTCAGCAAACACAGTCATGATATACTGCTGGATTCAACACATTCTGTGTAGTCAGCAGACACTGTCAACATCAGCTGTAGGAAAGGGCCTCTTCTACAGCCCAAGGTGTACTGTATGTTGTGCAGGCTCCATATTTGTTACACTAGCAGTTCTCTGGGGCTCGCATGGGGGTGGGGGTTTGACCCACCGCTCCTTAACAAACATTTCAGAAAAAGGGCCTAATTTGCTGAAATCAAATATGTTAGAAATACAAGCATGCACGCGTGTGCACACACACACACACACACACACACAGACATATATATATATATATATATATATATATATATATATATATATATATATATATATATATATATATATATATATATATATATATATATATAGACAGATATATATGTATGTATATTACATATATATATTTTAAACAGGCATGTGAGTTTAAATATCTTGAAACAACATTCACTGAACATGGTAAACTGGACAAAGAAATAAACATCCAATGCAGTAAAGCGGGCCAAGTATTGAGACAGCTAGCTTCCCTCTTACAGCATAATCCCAATCAGCTCAAAGAGACATCTCATACAAAGCATACTCATTCATACCCTATGCTATCAGTGCCAGACAAGGTCAGTTACAACAGAACATAAACAAAAATTAGTACCCATGGAAATGAGGTGTCTGAGAAAGAATGTAGGAGTGACCAGAAGAGATAAAATCAGCACAGAACCAGTTCTGGATTACATACAAAGACAGCAATATAAATGGTTTGCTCACTTGCAGAGAATGCCTTCTAAGGCTATACCATACAAGGCATATATGAAAAGAGGCGAAGGATGTAGATCAAGAATAAGATGGGAAGATAACATCAGAGAAACTCTACAGCACCTCGATGTGTCTATGGTTGAAGCAGCCAGAAGAGCACGAAGCAGGACCTTATATCTCCCTTGACACCTGAAGCACTGAAAGAGGATGTAAAGAACAAGAAGAAATGTGTTAGACCAAAATGCGCAGATATCACAGCCTATCTGTAAACTACAATACAGTGTTCTAACCACCATTTAAAAGGTGAATGCAGAAGAAGAAGAACAATAAGCAGTTGATGCATGTGGCTCTTATCATACTGTTTGCCTTTATTTCCCAGAAAATTTTCTAGTGCCCATTTGAAGCTGGGCAGACTTTACATCTCCTCTCTAAAGATGCTCAGTACAAAATCTGATCACACAGAGCCGGACTGGTAATCAGTCTGTGTTAAGTGCAGCATCTCAAACAAACAGGAGATGTTATCCTTCTTTTAGCCGATATATCTGACTTCTTAGTGCATTTGTTTCCAGGTTAACCTTCCCATGTAGTTTTGTGGGACATTTGCAACCTCATTTTTTTGGTGACTTTGTCATGCCCTGATCCACGGGTGTTGTCCCATGAAGACCTATCTAGGGCAGCCTCATGTAGCTTGGTCGAACCTCCGTCCGTCCATGTGTCCAGTTATGAGAACAAAACAAAAAAATTGACTATGTTCCACCTACTGCGAGCAGTATCGTCTGTAATTCTGGTCTGGTTTCTTTGTGCCAAATATATTGGCTAAGAAGTGTTAATTGCACCAAAACGGGTGGTTTGGACCTGTAGTCTAGTACCTCGTAATAGCCGTTGGTGATGGGTCTGACACCAGACACCCACCTGTGAATCGGAAGGCCATGGGTTCAAATCCCAACGGAGCTAGACTTTTATTTTTTTTTTAATTTTTTTTAAGGGCAGAGCCTGTGCATTCCTTGCAGTCCCAGGAGGGAAGGCAGGGACAGAGCATGAGCATTTCTTCCAGTCCCAGGAGGGAAGGCAGGGACAGAGCATGAGCATTCCTTGCAGTCCCAGGAGGGAAGGCAGGGACAGAGCATGAGCATTCCTTGCAGTCCCAGGAGGGAAGGCAGGGACAGAGCATGAACATTCCTTCCAGTCCCAGGAGGGAAGGCAGGGACAGAGCATGAGCATTCCTTGCAGTCCCAGGAGGGAAGGCAGGGACAGAGCATGAGCATTCCTTCCAGTCCCAGGAGGGAAGGCTGGGACAGAGCATGAGCATTTCTTCCAGTCCCAGGAGGGAAGGCAGGGACAGAGCATGAGCATTCCTTCCAGTCCCAGGAGGGAAGGCAGGGACAGAGCATGAGCATTCCTTGCAGTCCCAGGAGGGAAGGCAGGGACAGAGCATGAGCATTCCTTGCAGTCCCAGGAGGGAAGGCAGGGACAGAGCATTCCTTGCAGTCCCAGGAGGGAAGGCAGGGACAGAGCATTCCTTGCAGTCCCAGGAGGGAAGGCAGGGACAGAGCATTCCTTCCAGTCCCAGGAGGGAAGGCAGGGATAGAGCATGAGCATTCCTTCTAATCCCAGGAGGGAACGCAGGGACAGAGCATTCCTTGCAGTCCCAGGAGGCTTGTCATAAGTGCAGAGCCAATACATGGTGGCAATGGTATAAAGAATGGAGATTTTGAGCTGGTCGCATTAGGATGTTGAAGCGGGAAAGAAAGGACCTCAATTAGGGTCTCCTTTCTATGCCAGGTACAAACAGGGCAGCTAATTTAATTAGGTGTAGAGGGAGTTAGGTGACACACCTGGCTTTAGCTATGTTGGCACAGTCTGGCAGAGTTAGCCCATAGACAAACCAGCAGGAGACAAGGAAAAAACCATCACACACATTATTATTCAACAACCCCTACAGTGTGTTTAGTAATAAGTACATGGTGTATGATGTATTTGAGGTGGTTTACTCAGTACTGCACACAAAGTAGTCAGTTATCAGCATGTATATTTTGTATTTGATGTGAAATATTCAACATTTAACACAAATTATTCACTATTCAACACAGGATATTTAATATTCAACACACAACATTATCATAATTTTGTTTTTACATAATTTCTCTTGTCTGCTTCAGTGAGCTTGAGGGAACCGTAGATGCAGTGGTGGACAAAAACTCATTGATAGCTTTACCACGAAAAGATGTCCCTCGGTAAGGTTTCTTTTGGGGTGCGCTTATTTGATCACTGAGTTCATTAATGATTTCAAACATTGCTGCGGAGCTTGTGCTTCATGTTGCACTCTGCAGGCGGCTAGCCATTCTGCTGAGAGAGACTGAGCCATACAAGATAAAACCTGGTGCAGTGAAGTGAATCCTCTTGACCTTAACTTTGTTCTTCTTCTTCTTCACTTCCTCTTTTACCGCTGTGGGTGTCGAGGGAGATATAAGGTTCTGTTTCTAGCTCTTCTGGCCGCCTCGACCATAGGCACATCGTGCTGTTGTAGAGTTTCTCTGATGTTATCCTTCCATCTTGTTCTTGGTCTACCTCGTGCTCTACGTCCTTCTTCTCTTTCCATGTATGCTTTGTATGGTATGGTGTCACAAGGCATTCTCTCTAAGTGGGCAAACCATTTACTTGCTGTCTTTATATGTAATTTAGAATTGGTTCTGTGCCGACTTTTTCTCTTATGATCTTATCTGTTATGGTCACTCCTACAGCCCTTCTCAGACATCTCATTTCCATGGTTACTAATTTTCTTTTATGGTTGTTCACAAGCGTATTTATTGAGAGTTATTTCTGACAAAAGCATGCAGAAGCCACAAGAGAGCTGATATAGTTGTCATGATTTGACCAGTACATGGACAGAACAGTGTCTCTAGATGTGACCCCCCAGAACTCACCACTGAAAGAAATGTGTTTGCACTAAATGTGCTTGATTGTCTGTGTCCAGCAGCTGGGGGTTTGACCCTCTGAGATGCAGTGACCAGCTGATAAATGAATCACCTCATCTGTTCAAATCCTGGATGTGCTTCTTATTGTGGCAGGAAGATACGGCAAGAAAGGGAACTGGTCACCCAGTGTCATCAATCTGTAAACATTTCTGACATCATTCTCTTGCAGGAGCTGCATTTGCACAGTGGCTAGCACTACTGCCTCCTCGATCTGAGGGTTGTGGATTGGATTTCAACCCTTCTGAGGCCAGACTGAAAAACCTGGAGGACATGTGATGTTCATTACAAACAATGAAATTATCCCTTGGGTGTTGGAAATGAAAGGAAGCCGCTGTCTGTTCAAATTATCACTTTGGTTTTGGACGAAAAAGGAAATCACTGACCAGACACAATTCAGATGTGAAAACCTACCCAAAATAAGAGTTTTTCTAGCATCTGTGATCCTGGTATGGAGAGATGAGGCAACGTAATAGTTAGACACTCACTTTCTGGCCCCAAGTTCTAGGGTTCGAATCTGTATTGAGACAGATTCTTTTATTAAATCCACCTCAACCCCCAGGTCAGCCCCGCCTAAAATGGGTACCAGATAAAGTCCTGGGAAGTAAAGGTGCCCCTGTGATGTTGATCAACCATACCACCCATTGGGTTTTATCTTCCAATCCTAAGAAAGAAAATAGGGGCTTTTGAGCTAAATATTATATAAGAGGGTTGGGGCAGGGAGGGAGTCAGGGGGGGGGGGGTTGAGGCATGGAGAGGGAGTGTGTAGTTGATCAAGCTTCTTAGTACACTTGTTTCTGCAGCAGGCGAAGTCGTCATTTGGAGGTGAGAGGTTCAATTCCCAGCATGTTAACTATAGCTTTTGATTTTTATGTTGTCTGTTCATCAATTCTGTTTACTTCTTTGTGTGGGTGCTGATCAGTACATTGTCTGTTTACTCTGTTGACTGTCTGCCAGGTATGTGCAGGTGATCAAGAACATGTTGAGTCCTGGAGGCAGAATTCTTTTGGATGTTGTCGAATATGAACTATCCCTGATGGATGGTACGGGTTCGTGCAGTTGTTTGTTGTACCAGGCATTGTACCTGCGTGGATAATCATTGATTGTACCAGACTGTATGATTTATCTGTGTATTGTTTTTTATTGTTTTTTTTTTTGTTTGTACAAGAGATTAAATATTTGTGCTGTCATTACAGGTATATGTCATTTGTTGTACTGGGCAATACAGGTGTCTGATTTTATGTAATGGAAAAAAACATGTGTCTGGTTGTGTTTTGTTGAATTAAAAAGGTGGTGCCTTAAGCAATTAATTGCATGTGCAACTACTGATTTGTTGTAACTGCATTTCTAGTGGCCTGCTGTTTCCTCGTCTCTCAGGCAGATAGGCTCTCACTTCAAAAGAAAAACCCTTACCTTTAATTAGTCGACTTTTAAAACATGCTTGTTTGTTGGACAGGGGGGGGGGGGGGGGGGGGGGGGGGGGGGGGGGGGGGGGGGGGCAGTTTCCCTAATGAGGAAGAAACTGACGTGACCTCCGCAAAGATGGATACATGACATTGACAATGCAATGGCGTCAAAAGCACACAGGGCTGGAAAATTGGCTAGAGAAACAGAGACTTTCAGGCGTGCCGTGATAAGAGCAACATTCTGTAAGGACATGTTGATTGATTGTTATTTAGACTGTGGGTCTATCCCCCTCCCTCCTTTCCCCGTAATGACCCCAGAACCCACATGGGAAAGCTGGGAGCCCAGGTCACTGAAAATAGATCCGAACGTCAAAACATCAAATTTACAGACAAGCATGCTAGCCCTTGTGCCACCACAGTTGCGTGGCACTACCTTTCTTTTTCTTCTGCCCCTTGAAGTCCCACTGGAGCATAGGGCCCCTGACAACACATCCGGCCATTCTGCCTTATTCCCTTGCAGCTCCCTCCCTGTACTCCCGAATCAACCATCTCTGCTTTTAATTCTCTTCTTCATATATTTTGAAGTATTCCTCCATCTCCTATGCATTGTGGGTTCCAGGAAAAGACATTCTAGTTATATTTTTCCAGTGCAGACCTGATGGGGAACTCACCGGTGGACCCAAGAATAGGTTCTGTTTGGTCAGAAATTCCTCTTATCCAAATAATAATTCAAGCAAGAAAATTTCCAGGGGATAAACAGATTGTTCTTCCCAACAGAAATTTGCCACATCCAAGATTGCCTTAAGTGGTTTTACTCTGTTTAGATTTTCTGTTGTGTCCCATAAAGCAGCAGTGTCTGTCTCTCACTTCTTGATTCACTGGAAGTTGTTTAGTTGATTCACTGGAAGTTGTTTAGTTGATTCACTGGAAGTTGTTTAGTTGATTCACTGGAAGTTGTTTAGTTCATTCACTGTAATTTGTTTAGTTGATTCACTGGAATTTGTTTAGTTGATTCACTGGAAGTTGTTTAGTTGATTCACTGGAAGTTGTTTAGTTGATTCACTGGAAGTTGTTTAGTTGATTCACTGGAAGTTGTTTAGTTGATTCACTGGAAGTTGTTTAGTTGATTCACTGGAAGTTGTTTAGTTGATTCACTGGAAGTTGTTTAGTTGATTCACTGGAAGTTGTTTAGTTGATTCACTGGAAGTTGTTTAGTTGATTCACTGGAAGTTGTTTAGTTCATTCACTGGAAGTTGTTTAGTTGATTCACTGGAAGTTGTTTAGTTGATTCACTGGAATTTGTTTAGTTCATTCACTGGAATTTGTTTAGTTCATTCACTGGAAGTTGTTTAGTTCATTCACTGGAAGTTGTTTAGTTGATTCACTGGAAGTTGTTTAGTTCATTCACTGTAATTTGTTTAGTTGATTCACTGGAATTTGTTTAAATGATTCACTGGAAGTTGTTTAGTTGATTCACTGGAAGTTGTTTAGTTCATTCACTGGAAGTTGTTTAGTTGATTCACTGGAAGTTGTTTGGTTCATTCACTGGAAGTTGTTTAGTTCATTCACTGGAAGTTGTTTAGTTCATTCACTGGAAGTTGTTTAGTTGATTCACTGAAAGTTGTTTAGTTGATTCACTGGAAGTTGTTTAGTTTATTCCCTGGAATTTGCTTAGTTCATTTACTAGAATTTGTTTAGTTCATTCACTGGAATTTGTTTAGTTGATTCACTGAAATTTGTTTAGTTTATTCACTGGAAGTTGCTAAGATCATTCACTGGAATTTGTTTAGCTGATTCACTGGAAGTTGCTTAGTTCATTCACTGGAATTTGTTTAGTTCATTCACTGGAATTTGTTTACTTCATTTACTGGAATTTGTTTAAATGATTCACTGGAAGTTGCTTAGTTCATTCACTGGAATTTGTTTAGTTTATTCACTGGAAGTTGCTTAGTTCATTTACTGGAAGTTGCTTAGTTCATTCACTTGAAGTTGCTTAGCTCTCTCCCTAAGTTCACTGTCTCAGACCATTATGTTCTTTCTTTACTGCTATAACATTCTGCCGCTGACTTTACCCTAATAATTGGTTCTGAAATATTTTGAATTAAGATATTGAAAATATATTTCCTAGTAAGTTGTAGTTTTTCAGCCATGTTGAATTTGATCAATTTCAGAAGTGGAAGGACCTAACAAACCCCCACCACCATTCCCCATGTATGAAGAGGAGCTGAAAACATTATATGGTATGTCTGTCCTGACATATGTGTTATATACAAACATACAGTGGTACCTCAGATTTTGGTCATCATCTGTTACTCAACAGCATTCAAATTATAAATAATCTGAGTTCCAAGGCAGTTTTTCCCATTGAAAGTAATGAAAGCTGAATGAATTTGTTCTGGGGTCCCAAAAAATCACAATAGGTACACATTCTGATCATATTTGAATACAAACATAAATAGAAAGCTATACAAATATTGTATTTGCTGTTTAAAAAAATTAGTTGCCTGTCCTTTACATGACATTGCAGAACCAACCCCAGCATTTTGTTTTAGCTGTTGTGGTTTTTCTAGGCAGATTTACATCCAGTAGTTTGCCATTGCTTTCTAGACAGTCGGCTTTTCGGTACCACTCAAAACCAACACAAGATGCAAGGCCCGCAGCTGGGATTGAACCTGGCATCCCAGCATTATGAAGCGCGTTCACAACACCTAAGCCACAAACTATGACTTTTTTTTTCACCTGTTTACTGTACCTTGATCAAAATGGGGACATAACACATAGAAGTGGAACTGGGTTTAGGGAGGTTCTTGTTTGGAAGGTGAGTCATCTTCTTTGATGGCAGCTGGAATCTCTCCTGATGTTTCATATCGTAGTCATTCAGCACTTGTAGAGGGCTTGGGGTCACTCATTTTTGTGATAGCCAGCATTTCAGAGTGGTCTGATTTAAGTTTTCTAATATGTTCAGTAACGTTATCATTAAATATGTTAACACACCTGCTAGATAGGATCAGCTGTCATCAGCTTCTTGCCTTTTCTACATGATGAAACAGATCTTGGATTTCAGCAGTGCTAATCCTTCCAAGTTCCCCCTCTTCCTCCCTGGACAAATCTCTTCTGGCGTTTCTTCTTCTTGCTGCTGGTGAAGGTGCTGGAGTTCTTGCATTGCCAGCTCAGTCACATGATCAGCACGTGCCAGGTGTTCAGTTGTCAAGGTGGTGTTTGAGTTCCAAGGTAACATGTATTGAAAATTATGTTCTCATTGTTTGAGTTTTGAGAAGTTCAAATTCTGAGGTGTTACTTTGCTTGTGTGTGTATAAACAAATGCACAGACACACAGAGAGGCACACGTTTATCATTGTTTTAAGCATGGTTTTTGTTTCTCAACCAAGTTCAAAGGTGCCACAAGAGGGGATCAGAGTCAATCATATCATGAAACACCACTAGACAAGCACACTGGTGAAACATTTGTGAGATGTTTGCAATCAACTGTCTTCAAACTGGCCTATTTGGTTCTGATCCACAGCAAGAAAATTAATTAAAGAACAAACTTTTCTTTTGCAAAGGTCACAAATATGGCTTTTCCAAACAATCATCTGTCTTACAGTGTTTTTTTTTTTTTTTGATGAATTGTGTTATACTCATGCAGCAGTATACATAATTATAGATGTGAAGCTCGCTGATATACTTTTCGTTCGGTTTTATATCTTTCCCTACATAATTATAGAGAAAGACCCGCTATAGGAGTTAAAGAGGCCCAATTTTTTGTACAAGGAGGAACAACTTTCACACATTGAGTGGCTTCCTGTTCTTGCTTTGTAGTCAACTTGTTGCCACAAACACTGGGATGATTGAATGCGGGATCTGGGAAGAAAGTTCTGTCTTTGTACAGCTGCTGATGTTGGTCACATTCTAGAGAGAGAGAAGTGACAAGGATGGGGAGGACACAGGGTGAGCTGCATGCAATAGCAACAAACTTGCATGACTTGGTTGAGCTGCACTGGGGGATGAAGGCAGAACAATTGGGGGAGGGGGTGAGAAATTGCCAGACATAAAAGCTTTGTAAAGGGAGGCAACTACTGACCAGCTAGCAGCAGACTGGTGTCATCAGTTAGAAGATTGTTGCTCTTTGTGATGCCTGGACCATGTCCATGACTGATTGTTTTGCTGTCCATTGTTAGGTGAAAGTTCCCTACTGTAATATTGTCTGTCTGACATTCCCTAAGATGCTTTTTTTGTTTGGTCAAGGACCCGAGTTCAGCGTAGAGTTCTTGGAGAGGAATTCAGCGGAGCTTAGAGGGAAACAGATTTATTGTTCAAGCTACCTGCTCATCAAGAAATCTTGATGTCACCTCACCTGATCACCAGCAAGTCTTGATGTCACCTCACCTGATCACCAGCAAGTCTTGATGTCATTTCACCAAATCACCATCAAGTCTTGATGTCACCTCACCTGATCACCAGCAAGTCTTGATGTCATCTCACTTGATCACCAGCAAGTCTTGATGTAGCAAGATTTGACCAACAGAGAATATTGATTTTGCACTATTATTAACAGGACCACTTCTGATTAACCAGTGATATAAGAAGAGTTTTGGATTCATCTTTTTAGTCTTGAATCATTCTGGATGGGGGTTATTAACCTCAGAACACTTGGAGACAGACTCAGGAGTATATCGGAGCATTTATGGTCATGTGCGATGAAGATGATCCTTAAATGAACAATAATTTCAGTGTTTAGTCTTATTAGTGAGGTGCCTGATTCTGACCAGGCATTGGTGACCACAACTTTCCACTTCTGTCTGTCATTTGTATTGAAGAGTTTATATTGATTTTATTGTTTGTTGGCAAGCATCCATCTTTCCTTGTTTTCTTTTTCCTTTTTTGGGCCTGGTATTTTCCATTCACAAGATCAATTTTCTGTGTTTTACCTCTACTGTTAATTTGCTGTAGATATTGGATTTTTCTGTATAGTTGTAAGAAGTGATTTATTCTTGTGAATTTATCCTTAAAAGAGCTGTAAACACATTTTGCTGTGGTGGCTTACAGCAAGGATGTGACATCTGCACCTTTCAACCAACCACATCCAATTTCTTCTTCCTATAGCCCCCCATGCCATGTGGTGGTAGTCATGTCTATCTACAGCCTTCGGTTTCTGGTACTTTCAGTCACTTTTGACACAGATGGTCTTCCATACCATGTGGCGGTAGTCATGTCTATCTACAACCTTCTAGTCATGTCTGTCTACAACCTTCTAGTCATGTCTATCTACAACCTTCTAGTCATGTCTATCTACAACCTTCTAGTCATGTCTATCTACAACCTTCTAGTCATGTCTATCTACAACCTTCTAGTCATTCTTCATCCCTACCTGTACTTTTGTCTCCTGAAATGGCACCCCAGAACTGAGACAGTGAAATCAATAATGCAGTTATTTGTGTCTTAGAGTTGTCTCTTCTGTCTCTAATGAGAGTTGATAACACACTTGCTGGTGTCAGTACCTCAGTGAATGGTGTTTTCTCTGTCTATGATAAATATTCTAGCATGTCCTGGTGTCAGTACCTCAGTGAATGGTGTTTTCTCTGTCTATGATAAATATTCTAGCCTGTCCTGGTGTCAGTATCTCAGTGAATGGTGTTTTTCTCTGTCTATGATAAATATTCTAGCATGTCCTGGTGTCAGTATCTCAGTGAATGGTGTTTTCTCTGTCTATGATAAATATTCTAGCATGTCCTGGTGTCAGTATCTCAGTGAATGGTGTTTTCTCTGTCTATGATAAATATTCTAGCATGTCCTGGTGTCAGTATCTCAGTGAATGGTGTTTTCTCTGTCTATGATAAATATTCTAGCATGTCCTGGTGTCAGTATCTCAGTGAATGGTGTTTTCTCTGTCTATGATAAATATTCTAGCATGTCCTGGTGTCAGTATCTCAGTGAATGGTGTTTTCTCTGTCTATGATAAATATTCTAGCATGTCCTGGTGTCAGTATCTCAGTGAATGGTGTTTTCTCTGTCTATGATAAATATTCTAGCCTGTCCTGGTGTCAGTACCTCAGTGAATGGTGTTTTCTCTGTCTATGATAAATATTCTAGCATGTCCTGGTGTCAGTATCTCAGTGAATGGTGTTTTCTCTGTCTATGATAAATATTCTAGCATGTCCTGGTGTCAGTATCTCAGTAAATGGTGTTTTCTCTGTCTATGATAAATATTCTAGCCTGTCCTGGTATCAGTATCTCAGTGAATGGTGTTTTCTCTGTCTATGATAAATATTCTAGCCTGTCCTGGTGTCAGTACCTCAGTGAATGGTGTTTTCTCTGTCTATGATAAATATTCTAGCATGTCCTGGTGTCAGTACCTCAGTGAATGGTGTTTTCTCTGTCTATGATAAATATTCTAGCCTGTCCTGGTGTCAGTATCTCAGTGAATGGTGTTTTCTCTGTCTATGATAAATATTCTAGCATGTCCTGGTGTCAGTATCTCAGTGAATGGTGTTTTCTCTGTCTATGATAAATATTCTAGCATGTCCTGGTGTCAGTATCTCAGTGAATGGTGTTTTCTCTGTCTATGATAAATATTCTAGCATGTCCTGGTGTCAGTATCTCAGTGAATGGTGTTTTCTCTGTCTATGATAAATATTCTAGCATGTCCAGGTGTCAGTATCTCAGTGAATGGTGTTTTCTCTGTCTATGATAAAATATTCTAGCATGTCCTGGTGTCAGTATCTCAGTGAATGGTGTTTTCTCTGTCTATGATAAATATTCTAGCATGTCCAGGTGTCAGTATCTCAGTGAATGGTGTTTTCTCTGTCTATGATAAATATTCTAGCATGTCCAGGTGTCAGTATCTCAGTGAATGGTGTTTTCTCTGTCTATGATAAATATTCTAGCATGTCCAGGTGTCAGTATCTCAGTGAATGGTGTTTTCTCTGTCTATGATAAATATTCTAGCATGTCCTGGTGTCAGTATCTCAGTGAATGGTGTTTTCTCTGTCTATGATAAATATTCTAGCCAGTCCTGGTGTCAGTATCTTAGTATTTTTGTTATCTCTATCCATGATATTGTCAACTTTCTTCTCAAAAACTTCATCTCCACTTTCCACATAATTTTTTTTTACTCAGGGCCTCATAGCATTCAGACACAGGAACCAGATGTGTGTGTATTGTCTTTCAATAAGCAGCGTTTCTTATTTCTATCAGTAAGCAGTGACATTACAACAGTTGAGTAGTTTAAGTGTGGGACATGATAGTGGTGTTTAAAACAGGAAAATATGTGACTGATTAATGATGCTTCATGAAACAGGATCTGACTTTCAAGATTTGCCTAAACTAAATCGACCAACTTTACTAGAAGAGACCGGAGTAGTGACAAGAGAGCACAGTTTGCATATTTACAGAATGTAACCTACAGTTTGATGTTGTTTTGTTAAACAAAATTAGTATAGTTTACTCCACCCTGATCCTAGAGTAGTAGGAGGGATGTGAGATCTTCTCCGACCTGACTACCAAAAACTTGCAGGTCATCTGGTGCTTACACCCATTTAAAACATCCTTTGGATGTTGGACAAGTGCAGTTGGATGCCACCGTCTACGATGCAAGACTGTTTCTGACATCCCTGTAAAGATCCTGAAATCCCTGTCTGCAGTGACCTGTTTCCAAGAAGCGTAGTTTATTGTTGGTTCTATTCGGCACTGAGTTTAGTAGGCCCAGATATTAATGTTTTCTAAAAATAGCATTTTGTGAAGTTTCTTAAAAGAACCAAATGACCTTTATACAGCCATATTGAGGTCAATATTTTCCCATAGCATCAGCAAAAGGTCACGGCATGAACAACCTGATACATTTTTCTTTAAGACCCCAGGGAATGAATTCCGTTGAATGCTTCGCAATGTTCATGTTTATTTATCTCCCTTTATATATCTTTATGCAGTACACATCTAAGATGTGGTGAATTTCTGTTGAGAAGAACAGTTTGTTTATCCCTAGCAATGTTTCTTGCATGCACTCTTATCTAGATAAGAGACATTTCTGTTAAGAAGTACCATTTCTTGAGTCCCCAGTGAGTTTCTGCTAGAATGATGAACAAATGTTTAATTGGTGGTACTTCAGTGGTAAACAAATGTTTAGTAAATTTAATGTCAGTATTACTTTAGCAATGTGTCCAATTATTTGTAGGAGCATTTAAAGTATTTCCGCTTAAATTTTTAAGATTTATGTGGCGCATGCGCGCATGCAAGCACGCACACAAACAATGTGCTGTCATTGATTGTTGCTTTGACATACTTTGATGATGTAGAGCAGGGCTATTGAACTAAGTTGGAAATGGGGATCATTAAGGGCCAGAGGCTGCAGCCCCAGCATAGGAAGATCACACAATAGAAGTGGCAATGATCCGTGGGCCAGTTGCTAGGCCTCTGTGGGCGGGAATCGGCCCATAGGCCACCAGTTGATTAGCATATTGTGGCTAGCCTGGGTGTGAATGTGTTTTCTCATATTGTGTGCGGTCTTTATAGTGATTTATGCCTTGTAGCAGAATAAAACAATACTCCAGAAACTGCATGTGTATTTATGAGGGTGTCCTCCTGCCAGCAGAAACAAACAAGGAGGACAGGAAAGTTGATGAGTTGTTGCTTGTCCAATCTGGCATGCTGTGAACATGCAGGTACTAACAGCTATATCCTCTTTGTGGTCTTTCAGCACAAACCTGTGTTGTGTGCACCAACATATACACATACACGCATACTCACAAAGCAACCATCACCATACTGTAGATATAGACATATTGTGAACCATTCTCTTCTGTGTTGATTCAATAACTTGTTACATGCTCTCAGTCTGCCTTTTGTGAGCTACATTTGCAGAGTACGCCTGAGATGAACAGACGGCCGGGTTTCAGGAGCAATAGACAACATCTGGAGCGGAAATTTAGAATTGTTTTCTTCAGTCTAACCCTTTCTTCCCCAAAAGATTCCAATTGAGTCACAGTGTTTAATGGATCATGGTATGAAAATACAGTAGTAACTAAAGATGGCATTGAGAAGGTTTCCTTATGACCCCAATGGTTTTTTGAAATCAATGTGGATGTCAGATTTTCCCTTGAGCCTCAGTGATTGAGGTTCCCATATGAGTCACCTGATACATTTCTTTAATGCCCAGGGGAATGGTTTCCATTTAAGGCTTCACTCTGTTTCTGTTTATTGATTACCCCAGCATCTTTGTTTATATATATATGTTAGAAAAAAGATAAACATTTTGAACAAATAAATAGTTACCTGTTTTGAACTTTTTTTAAAAGAATTTTTCAAGAAACTAATGGATTCATGACCCAGGCTTTTTTAAGCTTTCACT